AATAATAAGTGTAACAATCATAGTCGAAAGCTGACCTGGGCTTCTGTTAATATTCCATACGCACTTCAGTTAATCTTGAAACAGATCAAAATCGATGTCTGTTTCACCATTTCCGGATTATTGTAAATGTTAATCTTAATTTAATTTGATGCGAAGTTACCTGTGCCTGACGAACACGGTTGTTTATATACTGGTGTGAAAGAACAGTTGTTGGCTCCACTGATTTGTGTTCAGTAATTGTCCGTTTCGGAATTCAGCCCACTTTCTGTTCCTATCGGCATGTCCTGTGTTACGCCTTTCAAATCTAGTGGTTTTTTGTAATGTGTCAGGGAATTATGAATAACCATGTGTTGATAGAACTGTTTTGTAGATCTCCTCAGTCACTGTAAGTAAACACATGCAAAGTATTTTTAAAGTAGACCACGGCATTTTCTTTATACACTTCTCCGAATTTATCTTTCGTTATAATGTTATTCCTCATTCGACGTTCTAAACTATAAATAGCCTATAGTAAACATTGCGTCTTTAAAAAATCACGAAAGAAAAATAGTTTTATCTTCCGCGACTCTAAAGTATTACTTCTGTATGTGAGGCCTACAAGAATTGTTTCTATCAAGAATTCTATTTGAATAGGCCACTTCTAATTTTTAATTTGTAGAAATGATGGAAGTTAAAACCAAGCGTCTTTAAATTTATTATGTGCTAATGCATGCGCCGCTATTTGCATGTGCTGTAGATAGATGTAGTTTTTTTAAATATATTTTACGTCATGATACTTGATTGTTATACGTTATTAATGGGCATAAGAGCTCTTTGATCTATTATATTTGATTTGGTCTTCACATTATCAGATTGTGTTTGTTGATAGAGCTTAGTTTTTGCATGGAACTGGTTTTGATTAGTTTTCAAGCGCCTGTTATTTTACTAAAGCCTTCTTTCAAGTCAAATTTTCCACAAATGTCGTTACTAACGTTTATAAAAATACGGTAAATTACTCGTCTATGGTGAGAACCCTGATTGTGGGCTGTAAAATTATAATAAAATTATTAGCCATATCCAAAATTTTCTGCATACAAATTTTGTATTTACTGGTGAAATCCTCAGACATCTATGGAGTGAAATTTTTGTGTGACTGGTGACCTGCTCTAGCGTACGACATTTGAGATTTTCACGACGATGAGAATGAGGTCTTGCAGTTGGTTACGAATGTTATCTTGGCGTTACGACCCAGAAGACAACAATCCTCTAACATCTGAAGATGGCTGTCTTCTGGGTTGTTGCGCCTTGTGATCTGGTAGAAGTTCTCCGACGTATCAGAGTTGCTTGCTGCCTCCATTATCAAAACATTAATTATTGGGGCAACAAACACCTCTGAAACGTCGGAGAACTCTACCAGACTACACGGCGCAACAACCCAGAAGACAGCCATCTTCAGACTCACCGTCGTGAAAACTTAAAAACGTCATTGCTGTAATATTTGTTGTCAGCAATTTGTAATTTACGAACCTTAGCCCTCTAGATCCTGAAGTGTAATTAATTTACGATCCAGTTGCCGTGTAAACGAAGTCTTTTCTTACGTTCTGAAAGGCGGAATGACTGTAGGAAATAACAGGTGCACTAGGATAGATGCAGCTTTGTAACTTGACATTGTGTGGAAGGAACGAGAAGGACTCGCGGTGGTGATTCTGGTGGTGATACTGCCTGTAGCCTTCTGAACGAGATAGACCAGGCTCTGAACCTTGCCCGAGGCTTTCTCACGGCTACCACGCAATCAGGTTGGTTTGTTTGTTGAAACCAGTGAGAGGGTCCTGCCTGAGGAACGTTCTTCAGATACGTCCTCTATGTGACGTTTGAGGCGTTCGTCAAATTGTGCTTTTTAGGATCACAGTTGTTCCGAAACCGTTCTTTCTCTCAAACGAATTGTGTACTCTACTGATATGTACGTTTTATTTGAAGACAGAAATCTTCATACTCACCGCTGTGAAAACCTCAAATCATATGTTTTGTTTCCGTCTTTCCTGGGTTGCTTAATACCAGAATTTTTCCTATATGCACCATGGGGGGGGGGTATGGCAAAACCCCCAAATAGGCGATGAGTAGACGTGTAACAGACCTCTGTAGTCGATAGTATCGTTAAATATTCAACGTATTTTCATTACGTGACTTAGTATTGAATGTAATGCCAGATCATGTGTTGTGCTATATGATGTGTTCAGTTTACTTTGCTAAGAGGTTCCCTAAAATTTCATACAAGAACCTCGTAAAAACTTCAAATTTAAATAAACAGTTTCAACTTTCTTTCTTTGCTTTCCGCGCGTTGTCTGCTGCTGCCGGCTGGTGCAGCTCTGTCGATAAGTTAATCCTGTTAAGGTAAATCTGACAATCACCAGACCCGTGGGCATTGGAATTTCTAGATTTGTATACGTTCTTTTAAATAAAATAGGAAGATGACCGCCACGGTGGTCTAGCGGTTAGAAAGCTGGCCTTGTAATCCTGGGGTCTCGGGTTCGATTCCCGGCGGTGCCCGAATTTATAACTTGTGTTGGGCAAGGCCATGGTCTAGGCAACACGGAGTTTTCCTCCGGGGGCTTCTTCCCCGGTTTCTCCGTGGCATCCCAACAATTACTCCATTCACACACAGAAGAAGGCAATGGCAAACCACTTCTGGATCATCTGCCAAGAACGTATATGAACAGGTCCCAGTCCGAGTAAAGGATGGAAGGATCCTGTTCATATGGACCTGTCGTCAGACAGAACACTAAATAAAAATAAAAGTACCCGGTATGCGGTTCTTAGTCACATAGGCTGCCGCCGTGTATGAAACGGTTTCCAGTGATGATTCTAAGATAAAACAACAGCATATATTTAAGAAACGGAGCCCTCTCACTGATTTTAGATTGTGGGTTTGAATCTGTGTTGTGTGTCCCACTTTGTCTAGGTCTGATTTGTTTGTCATTTGTGCTGATGTGACAAGTGTAAAGTGTTTGGCCTTGTCATGTTGTTACAGCGTTTGTGGTATATGTCTTTGATGATGATTTGAAATGTTTTGAAAGATATATTCAAACTTACTGTTGATTTATCACTGTTTGTCCCCAGGCATTACTTAAATCTGTTATAAATGGAACGCCAGTGAAACAGAAACCCGTACAAAACGGAATGTCGATTTTATATTTTATTAATAAGAGTGGAAGGGTATTTTTCAAATTTGTTCCCTGTGATCTAGCGTCCGTCTTTGACCTTTATGTTACTTTACTACAGTTAGAAATTTATTGTTTACAAACTAATAAAAAGTGTAAAGACGCATACAAGCTTCATTGCAGATAACCCTACACCGTACCGAAAAGTATTTTAAATAAATCTAGGATATGTTGTAACCATGTGCAAAGCCGTTTGTTCGATTTTCTTTTGCGCCACGGGTCGTTTTATTTATGAATCTGCCTTGACCTTAAAGTGAAAGCGGCCTGTACTGTGATTTTTAATGTAAAGATTTTTTCTGTGACTCTGCAATCCAATTGGGGTCTTGGCCGCCTCTTTTCGGCGGTTTCTTGATGTATTCAGACGTTTGGTAGGGCTTCTTGGACGAGTGATCAGACTGCCTCTACACATGGCAGCTAAACACACAAAGACGCGGGCAGACATCCATGCCTTGAGTGGGATTTGAACCCACGGTCCCGATTTCCAAGCGCACGACTCCCACACCTCAGACCTCGTGGCCACTGACCGTCAATCAAAAGATACAGAACAAAATTACATTTCCCAACGGTTTTTAGTGAATTTCACATGTTTTGATTGAAGATAATTGCATTATAGGATGTTGCGCCGTGTTGACTGGTCGATATTGACCGATGTTTCGGAGGTTATTTTTTTCCCATCGTCAGGACGATGAGTGATCGCCCTGATTATGGGGGCAGTACGCACCTCTGAATTGTCGGTCAATATCGACCGGAGTACATGGCGCGACATCTCAAAAGGCAGCCATATTTATAGTCGTTGTTGTGAGACTCTGAAATGTCATTCGGTAATTGGTTTGAGAGATGAAAGAAGCGGTCGGACAGGCGTTGTTTCCGGATTCTGGGTTGATTATTATAATTTCGTGAGAAGAATGCAATCAAATTTGCCAGAAAGCCGTGTGAGCATCGGCGGTCCTGTAACCGATAACTGTGTAGCCTTGCTGTTATCCGTTTCAGACACGTTTCGCTGTGCTGGTAATAAACTTCCATACGTGGGTTATGCCGGGAAATTCATTCAAAGGATGTAGGCCAGTGTTGTTTCTGCTGTAATTTTAATTAGGTAAGTGAAGCTTCCTGCAGGAATAATTAATAGGCTGTAGGTTGATGTACGTTCTTTAAATTGAAGGTGACCATAATTTCTCTTCTATTGTTTCTTAGTTTCAATTCCTACAAAGTAAATGTCACAGTAAATTCGATATTTGGGAAGTTTCCAGCTCTAGTCTCGACCCTACCGTCTTATATTTTCGTGGTTGTCCTCAGGCGAATGCCAGGATTTTTCTGTAAATTAGATCATTGTTGAGAGTTAAAATAATGTAGGCAATTCTCTCATCTCAATCTATTTATTTTATTTATTCAGTGTTCTGTCTGACGACAGGTCCATTATTCTGCCCAAAAAGAGCTCTCCAGTTGTCCCTATTCTCGGCTTCTCGCTTTAATTCCTAGAACGTCATCTTCTTTCCTTGTTTAAGGTCGTCGGTTATCTGTAACCGTCTTCTTCCCAGTTCTCGCTTTCCTTCAACCTGGCCTTCGGTGATATCACTCAGTAATCCATTCCTTCTCATAATATGTCCCAGCCAGTTAGCTTTCCTTCGTGTAATGGCCTGCAGAATGTTTCTTTGCTCGTTGACTCTCCTCAATACTTCTTCGTTGGTCACTCGATCCGTCCACCTGATCTTCTCTATTCTTCTCCAACACCACATTTCAAAACTCTCCAGGTATTTCTGTTCCTTCTTCCTGAGTGTCCAAGTCTCTCCTCCATACGTAACACTTCACTAGTTTCTTCTTCATCTCC